ACATACATACATACATACATACATACATACATAGAATGTATGTATGAATCAAGATCACGTGAAGTGTTAATACCACTTTACAATGCCTTGGGAAGGTCACACTTGGAATCCTGCATTCAGTTTTGGTCGCCACGATGTAGAAAAGATGTGGAGACTCTAGAAAGAGTGCAGAGAAGAGCAAGAAAGAGGATTAGGGGACTAGAGGCTAAAACATATGAACAACAGTTGCAGGAACTGGGGGATGTGTAGTTTAATGAAAAGAAGGACCAAGGGAGACATAATAGCAGTCTTCCAATATCTCAGCTACAAAGAAGAGGGAGTCAAACTATTTTTCAAGGCACCTGAGTGTAGAACAAGAAGCAATGGGTGGAAACTAACCAAGGAGAGAAGCAACTTAGAACTGAGAAGTTTCCTGACAGTTAGAAGAATTAATCAGTGGAACTCTTTGCCTCCAGAAGTTGTGAAAGCTTCAACACTGGAAGTTTTTTTTAAGAAGAGAGTGGACAGCCATTTGTCTGAAGTGGTGTAGGGTTTCCTGTCTAGGAAGGGGGTTGGACTAGAAGACCTCCAAGGTCCCTTCCAACTCTGATATTCTATTCTAAATGCAAAATTGAACTTGATGCTTCAAAGTGTCTGGACGATTAGAGGCAAAATGTCAGCCAGCACTGTGATGCACCTACCAAACCCCCCTAAAAGCACTCCTGGCCTGCATCAAAGTAACAGAAGGTCAAGATCAAGGGCTCCTTTGATTTGGCTTCTGGTGCAGAAGCTTTGGAAGGGAGAGCAAGGGGGGAAATGGATTCCCCCAAGTCAAGCAGCCCCAACAGCTGAAGGAAACGAGAGGGGACAGCCTCAGCCAGCCAGGTGCCCTGTTAAGGCAGGCAGAGAGGGAGGGAGGGAGGCAGCGAAGGGCAATGGGGCAACAGTCATGGTCAAAGACACAACAGAGAGAGAACAGTGAGATAAGGAGGCAGGTGCAAGGCCACGGGGAGCTTGAAAACACAGAATCCCAGCTTGCTCTGACCTTGCGATGCAGACGCTGCTCCTGTGGGGAATGATGGGCAAAAACCACCTCAATCTTTTGCCAAAGAAAATGGGAGTTTTGAATTGTCATCAACAAAGAACAGGCTCAAGGAATTTAAACTGGAGGGACTGAAAGACAATTGTCATTTGCTGGAACTTCTCAAGACAAGGATAAAAACACCATAAAGTGTTTTGTTGTTTTTTTAAACCACTAGACAGGCAAGAAGGTAAAGCATCAAAAAGCTCCCAAAATGAACGCAATTCTGTTATTGCAGACAGGAAAGAACCGGACTGGCTTCCACCAGTCACTTTTCAGTGAGAGAGAAAGTTTTTGACACTCCTTGAATATCAGGATCAGCTGCGAAGCTCTTTTCAAAGGGAGGCCAGACAGCCGCTTGTTCGGGATGCTACTTTAATTTGCATTCTTGGGCTGAGCGATGACTGGATTCATGGGACCTCAATGGCCCTTTTCCCACTCATCCAAGGACACCAATCCTTCCTTTTTTACCTTAGTTATATTTATTAGTTTTTCAAAATGTAAAACAAAAAAAATGAAAATCAATGGGAAACTAGGGGGAAGAAAAAGGGAAGAGAAAATGGGAGGTTGAAAGTGAAGACTTCTGGCTCTTTGTAGCACAGTAGAAATAGCATTAAAGCCTTTACACATCAGTCATATTAACCATTTCGATATCAAATTTATTTAATCGGCAAAACTCAAAAGAATTTTTTTTTTCCATCACAAGCACAAAATCCAAAGTGATCTGCTGATGAAGGGGGTCCTTTCCTTCCCTTCCATCCAAGGATGCCAAGCCCTACTGAATGGCCTTGCCGTCTGCCTTCCTGGCATACCATCTGCCCCCAGCCTTTTCCTGCCTCCTCTCTGAAGCATCGCACCAAAATAGCTCTGGCCCTTTAATAGAATTAGGAAACACACACACACCCTGCTTGCTAGGTGAAATTTGGGGGTTGTACAAATGATGGAGACTATCGAGACCCTCAAAGGGGTGTGTGTGGCATTTCTGGGGCCCTGCTTGCCCTCCTGATCCTTGCTGTACAACGTCACATCAGGCGAGGCCACGCAAGGCGACACCCTGAGCTCCTTATCCTGCAACTTCAAGGTTTACAATCATGTCCTGGCCTTGGCGCCTGATAAAAGCCACCAGCCCGGGCAAGAGTCCGCCAGCTGCCATCCCAGCCCACTGGTTGTCAAGGTGCCCTGGGGTCGGCTGCTTCAGCTTGCTGGGAAGAACGAGAGCTTTTCCTGGCAACAGGCCGACCAGCAGTTTCACACTGTCATACAGGCCATCCCATGCATGTAGATTCTGTTTATGTGAAGCCGGGTACGCCTTTGTTCCATGACCTGCCCTGGTTCCCGGTGTGCTTCCTTGAGCAATTCAAGGCTGAATGATCGTCAGGCTGAGTTGTTTACGGGATGGCCATCCCCAGTCGTCTGCTCCTTGACATGCCATCCGCACCAGAGCACGTAACAGAGCAGAAGTCAGAAAGGAGCAGGGGCCTCTCAGGAAACGGGGTTTTTTCTCGGCCTTTGCAATTTATTTAGCCAGGGGCACTTGGCAGAGGAGCTAAGCGACTCTTAAAAAAAAAAAAAACTGAAAGTGGGTCAGAGCAGCTTCATGGCACTTCTGACATCGGAGGAATGGAAGCCAGTTTCTGTCTCTTTCACTCATTCCACCGCTGGCAGGAGCCGGTGGCTTATTTGGCCTTGGCCAAGGTCCGAAATTTCTTCTTGGTGCTCCTGAAGCTGTGCAAGGGGTTCCTCTGGCCCTGAGAAAGGAGGAGGTCGTGGTATTAGCCCCTTCTGGACAACCCGAGGCCCACGGCTCCAGCCCAAGCACTTGGCTGCCAGGCGCAGCCTCTGGAGGGGCCATCCTGGGAAGTGGGGGAAGCAGAGGGGAACACCAACCTTGCTAGTGGAGGCCGGGCATTTCCGCCGCTTGCGTTTCCCAGCCAGGGCTGGGACTGCTGGCCGGAGACCCTGAGGGACTGCGAAGGAAGAGCCTGTCAGCGTCCAGAAAGGCAGACTTCCCCACCCTCTCCTCTCCTGGCCCTGCACAAGGGCTCAGGCCCAGTGAAGACTTTGACCCAAAACTCCAGACGGTCCAAAGCCCACTTAAAAAGAGAAAGTCCCCCCCCCCCCGATACTAGAAAGAGGAGAAGCCTCACGCCCGTCCTAAATGCAGGGCATTTTTCTCTTTTGAACAGCTCCTCCCCTCCCCACAGCAGAGATGCCCCTCCAAAACCCAACCCCCACCCAAGTATTCTGGGACGTTGCGCAGGTGGGGCTTAACGATGGCTGGGTGAAGGGGCTTGTCATGGCGCAGCAAATTCAGATCCCGGGGATTGTCTTCAAAGTATGTCTGAGAGAGAAAGAGCCAACGGGATGATCAGCCTCTGTCAAACGCAGAACTGGGAAGGAGAAGGGAGCAAGGGCGGGGGGATTGGGGCCCAGCTTCTCTGCCCCACACAGGATACCTTCAGCTTCTCCGAGTTGAGCAATTCTTCTTTGATTTCACGGAGTCGGGCTTCTTTGATAGCCTGCTTGGTTACTGACCGCATGGCATCCTGGGGGCAGGAGGAAGGAGAGAAAGTGCCACAGAGGCTTAATGCCACCTAAACCACCACTGCAGAAGGGAAGGAGGCAACAAGAGGTGCCAGAAGAAGAAACACATTTCGCTCAGGCTGCTGCATTAAGGCTGCCAGTGTTCCATCTCTGTATTCTACTATATCTGGCTTGGATGGAAGCTTGACCACTTCCTACAGACAAAATAACTTTCTTTTCCAGAAAGTTCCTCTGAAAACCCTGATGGCAAGGACTCAAGGCTCACCATGGGCCCCAGCTTCCATTCCCCCCACCCCCCAAGGAGACCACAGTGGCAATGCGGCTGTTGCCTGCAATTGTGGTGGCAAGAGCAGCCGCTGCTCTTCCAACTCAGCCATGTCTTTCCCCATCTTGGTCTCCTCCACGGAAAGCTGCTTTTACCTGACATCGGTAGCGGAGTCCCTCGATCTCCCTCATCCGGAACTGGTAGGGCGTCAAGGTGCACTTGCTTGTGCTCTCTAAGGGACCAAGCAAAGGAATGGATTTGGGGGGGAAGGTATGCATCACTCATACAACACACTGTGGCCCCGAAGCTGCCCAGGGAGGGAGATGCCAAGATCCCCAGCCCTCTGTGCTCTGGCTGTCTTCTCCAGAGCCTTGGGGACACCCACCCTCTTCCTTGGACCCCTGAACTCTTCCCTCACCCACCGGCTGTAAGCACCTCTTCAATCTTGGCAAGCAGAAGCCGCTCAGAGGGCAAGACGAAGGTCAGAACAGTGCCTGGGTTGTGAACACGGGCTGTCCTGCAAGAGAGAGTCAACAGCTGACACGCCAACATCTCGAAACCCCAAGGCCAAAGAGGGCTCCAAGGCTCAGCCAGAGGAGACCCTTGTCAACTCCCAACATTGTCATAGTGAGAGAAGGAGGGGAGGGAAGTGCATTCCACACATACTATCGGGTGAAATTGGATCTCAGATTACTGTAGCAGGCTTGGGAGGGGTGCATCTCATAGGGGAATGTGACTTATGACACAGACTGAGGGGAGGGGTTAAAGTTCAGCTGTAACAAAGAAAGCTTAGACCTGACTGTGAAAAGATTTGGGGTATGATGATGCTCCTAATAAATGATCAGTTTTGCATTGAAATTTGGCTCGATACTCATGAATCAACTGGGGCATTTTTAGGAAACCTTACACCCCTTATGCCTCAGAGAATGAAGGGTGAACGGCCGAGGGAGGCTAAGGTGGCAGCTGATGCCAATCCAAAAAGAGCATGAGAGCCTCTGAACTTCCTTGAAAGCACCTGTCTGTGGAACTTCAAGCACTTTGTCCCCAAGTAAATCTATGGGGATTTCCCATGAGTTTATCTTCATGCTTGCAATTGTTTCTTGTTCAATCCTTTCAGAGACAATTAAGATCTGGGTGCATCTTCCTCTCTCTCTGAGGCTCAAGTGAAGACTCAGGAGAATTTGGGAAGCTATATCCCACCCATATTTTAGTCATAGGAAGAGCCAAACAGTCCTGGGTTAAGCAGAAGCACTTGGGATGTTCAAATAAAACCAGAAACCTGCACCCAGAGCAGAGAAGGTGAGTTCTTGCTGGATTATTTATCATCCTGGGGAAAGTATGTAGCAAGACTTTAAGTGGGAAGAGGGCAGGGAAATGCTGCTAAGGCAGGGGTGTTAAACTCAAGGCCCACGGGCCGAATTCGGGCCGCAGGGTGCTTAAATCCGGCCCACGGGGCCACCCTGGAAACATTGAAGGATCAACTCATGATGCCCATGAGAGTGAAAACGGGCTCCTGAGCTCCATTTTTTGGCTGCAATGGCCTCCTGCAACCCTCTGCCAGTGAAAATGGAGCTCGGGAGGGCTGCAGGCAGCTGTCTCAGCCAAAGAATCTGAGCTCGGAAGCCTGTTTTCACTGGCAGAGCGCACAGGTGACCACAGGCCCAACACAAATGACGTTCAGCTCCCCCTCCCCAGCCCCCTGAGATCAAACACAACTCTGATTTGGCCCTCAAGTTGGACACCCCTGCTCTAAGGAAACAAAGTTGTGTGGAACACAGAAACATTCTCCGCTCCATTAAAAAAAAAAAAAAAACCCATCTCCACAGGTTCTAAAAAGAATCGAATTTTCCTAGTTGCCTAGGACCCAGAAGCCAAATGATGTGCTAGATCCATGACCAAAACTGCCCACCTCTGGCGTGCCCTAAGAGGAGCCCCGCACTGCCACATTTCTCCTGAGTTTGAGCGTAGCTGCCACTCACCTGCCTGCTCGGTGGATGTAGGATTCAAAGGAGGGGGGGAAATCAAAGTTGAAGACCGCAGACACGTTGTGGAAGTCGATGCCTCGGGAGACACCATATTCCTGATCTTTGCCCCTGAAAGACAAAGCAGAAGCACAGATGGAGGGAGGCGAAGTCTTCTTAATCCATCCACACATGATCAATATGAAGAATTTGGAGGGTGGGAGACTCACTTTTCTCCTTTTGTGCCCTTCTTCCTTTTCCTGCCACTCTCCTCTGGTTCTGCCAGGTGCTGCTCATCTGTGGCAATGATGTAATTGTAGACGCTCCGATTGAACTGGCTGATGATGTGGCATCTGGAAGAACATCAGGCCAGGCTTTGAGAGTTATTTCCAAACCCCTGAGATAATCAAGCCTCCCCCATTCCCAGCAGCTGGAAGCATGCTTTGTTCTGTTTATTCATGCCAGAAGCATCAGTGATTATCATAAGGCATGCTGTATGACACAAAATGTAAAATATAAAATACAAGATTAAAATATGTAGATGTGAAACAGATCCTGGCCAGAAACTAGTAATGTTTAATGGCATTCTGTCATGCTGCCATGAAGTCCTCGAAGAATGTGTGTCGTTAACACTTTCTAGCATCCCCCTGGGCAACAACTTATTGCTGGGTAATGTTGTGGCCCGCCGGCAGCCAGCAAAGCTGGCAGCAGTGTCCAGACAGTGAGGAGGTTGGGGAGGAACAGGGGCCAGTCCTGGGGGCTGAGGAAAGTTCAGACAAGGGCTCTGCATTGGAGGCAGAGAGGGAGCCAGACAGCAGTGAGGCAGAGGAACAGCTGGAGCCTGTTCCCAGTGCGCGCATGCGCAGAGCTGCCAGAAGACAATTAAGAAAGCAGCGTCGACTTGGGAGTAAAGCCACACCTTGGAGGTGATTAGCCCCTCCCATAGGAAACAAAAGAGGAGTGAATGGGGAGGGGGCTTTTGAAGAAAACAATTGGTTCCTTTGGTCGGTTCAAGAGTGGAAAGTTCTGTTTATGACCATAAGAGACTCTGAGCCAAGTGCTGCCTTGCCTTGTTTGGAAACTAGTTATCTGGCAGCTCGCCAATCGAGATAAAGTTCGTGTGGATAAATATTCCTCTGAAAGATTGTTTGCCAAGACTTGCTGACTGTGAATGAAAGGAATTCACAGTCGTGTAAATAAAAGAGGTTTTGGCGAGACCAAAACCGTTTCATGCTTTCTAAGGAAGCCTGGGTCAGAACAGGTAATCCTTTCAATCCAGAAGCATCCTAAGAGTAGTGAGGAAGCGTGGTATTTCCTGGGAATAAAACTGCTTCCTGTCCAGGTAATATCACAACTTCCTGCCAATGGCCCTTCCTCACCCAACCCCAGGCTCCTGTTTGCTGAGGCTCACCGGGACTGAGCAGGCAGCTCTGAGTTGAGGACGCAGGCAGCGATCCCAAACTGCTCCAGGAAGAGTTTGAGGCGGTAGCAGCGGTCAATCCTGTTGACAAAGAGGAGAACTTTCCCCCGCACCAGGGAAAGCTTCAGGAGGGCATAGAGGAGCAAGAATTTCTCCTCTTCAGTCTCGCACTGGATCTGGAACTGGCTCAGTTGGGAGCTATCTGGCAAGGGTGCTTCTTGCAGCCTGAGAGTCACCTACGCAAAAGGAGCATGGAAATCTGCCTATCCCACAACCAAAAGAATGCAGGAGGTGCCTTCTTCCAGGCTCTAGGCCACCACAGATGGGACAAAGCCAAAGCCAACTCAAGGTGGGCAATCTGCAGTACAAAGCATGTAAACCAGCCGAGTACCAGGCCAACACCCCACCCCCCCAATATCCAATGCGCCATTCCTTACCGGGTTGTGCAGTACCAGCTCCTTCAGTGTCTGGACATCCTCGTTGAAGGTAGCTGACATGATGAAGGTCTGGTAGATCTTGGGCAAATGGCTGCAGGGAAACAAGACTGCATCAGCCCTACGGATGGCATGGCAGATCAAACCCAAAGCCCGCTGTGCCCCACCAGCAGAAAAGAATGAAATATCTCCAAGGCAATGGATGCAGAATACTTTACTCTAACTACTCTTGTGTAAAATAACAAACCACACAATAGATTTAATGTTATCACAGAATAAATGGAACTACTTCTATAAAAAACATTTCCAAAATCAAAACATTCTAATATGTCTTTTTTTAAAGTTCCCCTTAACACACGTACTTTAAAGTTCACTTTCAGACCAATAAAACTCCAACCAATTCTAATTAACTCATTAAATTTAAGATCCCTCCAAGTTAAACCCCATAGAATAAATTTTCACTTAGCAACATAAATTTTGGGCTCAGTTGTGGTCGTAAATTGAGGACTATCTTAATCTTTTTAGTTTTTATTATTATTATTAATCTTTATTAAGCTAAAAGAGGCTCTCTTTAGCCACAGCCTATTCATTTTTTTGAAGACCTGTACCATTTTGGGAATTTCTTCTTCTTAAACAAGAAGGAATCTGCTAAGCCAAGCTAAAATAAGGATTAAAAAAAAAAAGATGGATAGGAGACTGTTCTACGTAGCGAAGTCTCTTGTCCTGGACTTCACCAGTTGGAGTTCATTAATTGACAGGGTCAATTACCTGACCAGGTGGGAGAGGCCAATGTAATGGGATGAAAACCATTGTTTTTTTCCTTCATTCTCTCTTATACTTTTTCCCCCTATTCTCTTTCTCTCAGTTTGTACCTTAGTTTTTACCATTGTAATTAAAATTCTGAATAGAATTTTATTCTATTCACAGAATCACAGCACTTCAGAATCCAAACTCACCAGAGGAGATTTTTCAAATCTTCCTCAAAGCCAAATGAAAAAAGCAAGTCAGCTTCATCTATCACCAAAATTTCTAACGAATTCTGCAGTCTCAAGTTTTGCATTTGTACATGTGCCAAAACCCGTGATGGCGTTCCTATCACCACATCTGGTTTCTCCATCAAGAGGGGCCTGAAAGACAAAAAAAACTGGAGGAGTAAAAACCAAGTGTTGGAGGAATACACAGGTACCACTCTTTGAAAGAATGCTGGGGACAATCAAAGTCAGATAAGCCAAGGCCAACTCAGTGGCATCATCCAGATGGGAAATCTTTTTATATATAATTTTTAAGAATTGTGATTATAATAGTAAAATACAAACTAAACAAATTATTTTAGCTTATGATGAGAATAGGACAGAAATAAATCTATATATACAGTTCATGTAATTATAAGTAAAAGCTAAAGTTAAAGAAAAAAATGCATAAAATAAAAAAAAGAGAAGAAAGAGAAAAGTAAAGTATTTCTGCTAAGTAGATTTCAAGCAAAGCAATCCCTTCTCTTAAAATTTCTTTAATGCATTCTAAAAACAGAAAGGGGAAAAAACATTCATGGAATGAAGTCTGCTATTATGACCATAGAAAAGAAAATACAGTCTGAAACCTAGAACCGCCCAGGGCCCTGGATGCCCAGGAGTGGCAGAGAGAAATAGCATTGCCCTACAATCCTTTGCCATTTCAGAGCTGCTAAGGAGGACAGGTGACTGGGGTTTTGTCTCTCTCTCCGTTGTATGTGTGTGTGTGGGTGGGGGGTTGTGTATGTACTTCCCAGGACCTTGGGCTGACAAAGAGCAGGGGGATAGTGACTCCATTCTCTCATTAGAAAACATGACATGCACCAACTATTCAGTGTCCTATACTTGCTGCTGTGGGGCTGCCCATGCCTCAAAGGAAAGGCAGATTTTGGCCCACTTCAGCTGGAGGGTGGTTGGGGCTGCTTTCTGCCTTGGTTGAGGTTTATTTTCCTCTCTCTCTATTTCTCCTCTGGGGGAATAGAATATTCTGCCTCTTTTAATCCCCCCCCAATATTTCCTTCTCTGGAGGGGAGGGGACACCTGAAGTGATCCCAAGGGGCTTCCAGCTGCTCCAGCCTCCTCCTCCCATGCAGGTTCCTCTCACCTCTGGGCGCCCAGGTCCTCTGGACCGGCCAAGTCGAGGGTGCGGATGTCCCGAGCGCAGTAGGCGGCCAGCCTCCGAAGCATCTGCAGCACCTGCCGGGCCAGCTCTTTGGTGGGCACCAGCACCAGGCCGCGCACTGCCTGCTCCGTCACCAGCGCTGCCTGGGAAGGGAAGGAAATAAATCATAAATTACTCTTTCATAAAAGCGTTAAGTATCAATAAGCTATGGAGTTCTTCCTGTTGCAAATTAAACATCAAGTGTGCTCAGTAAAACATTACTGTGATGACTTGCTAAAAAAACAACTTCCTTTGAAAACAGAAACATGCACCTGAGGCAAGGCCACCATTTAGGGAGATAAGAACATCAACAACAAGGAGACACGGATAAGATAACTGGGTTTCTGCAGGGTGAGTCATGCTGACTCTTTCTAGTGTAAAATGATATAAAACAGGGATGTACAAACTTGGGAACTTTAAGACTTGTAGACTTCAACTCCACAAGTCTTAAAGTCGCCAAGTTTGAAGACCTCTGATCTAAGTGGAGAGATTGCAGAGAGTAAGAGAGTAAGTTAGGCCATCTGGGGAATTCTGGCAGTTGAGGTCCACCAGTCTTAAAATGGCCAAGTTTGAAGACCTCTGATCTAAGAGGAGAGATTGCAAAGGGAGGGATTGCGAAGTAACCATCCTCTGCTACCAAATGTGAAGTACCCGTGGTTCGTCCATGAGGCCAATGTTGAGAAAAGACACGGACACGAGCTTTCTCAGGATGGAGCGACCAAGATTGGGGTCTGGAAGCCCATTTTATTGAGATAGGACAAAGGCAGGAGGAAATCAGCATATGATTTAAGACAGCCTGTCAAAGTACAATTGCTAATCTACTACTCAGGGAAGTCTTGTCT